ACAATTTCTTTTTTTTTTTTTTTTATTATTTCTGGTACTTTGCCCAGCATTTTTAATGTGCCTACTTTTCTTAATGAAAATATATGCAGTCATTTTTTATATGCAAAAATTCTTAACATAATTGTAGCAAATCAAATTCAATTCAGCATCATCACTAAGTGGGTTTTTTAAAAAAATATTTTTTATTTGTCAATTGACCTTTGTTTTTTACTTATTTATATGTAGTGCTAACAAGTGCTTTACCATTGAACTACAACCCCAGCCCATTAAATGGGTTTTTTTAAAACTAGCTTTAAAAACAAAAAAAAAGTTTTCTTTTTTAGTTATACATGACAGTACAGTGTCTTTTGACATGTTTATACAAACAAAGTATGTCTTATCCTAATCAGGATCCCAGTCTTGTGGACGAACACGATGTTCAGATTTACTGTGGTGTATTCATATATGTACATAGGAAAGTTAGGTTAGGTTTAGGAATATGTGTCGATTTCACATTCAAAAGTCAGTCACTGTGGCTAGGGCTGTAGCTCAGTGGAAGAGCTCTTGCATAGCAGGTGTGAAGCACTGGATTTTATTCTCAGCACCACATATAACTAAAATAAAGATCCATCAACAACTAAAAAAAAAGAAAAAAAATTTTAAAGTCTGTATAATACATATTCACAAACTAAGAAATTATTGTCTCACTAGATGAAAAAAGCACTCGAGAAAGTCCAACATTCACTTCTGATTTTAAAACAAAACAAAATTAAATATTCCCAGTAATTTAGGAACAGGAATGTTCTTCAACCTGATTAGTTGCATCTAAGAAAAATTCACAGCTGATGGAGAAAGACTGAATGCTTTTTTAAGGAAAAGTTGTTCGCCGTGCTGGAAATTTAAGTCAGTACAATAAGTCAAGAGAAAGGAAGAAAATATGTACACATCAGAAAGAAAGCAGTAAATCTGTCTTTATTTGTAGACAGTATGATTATGTGGGAAATCTGTTGGAATCTACCAAAAGCTACTGAGGTTTAATCCAGGGTTTCTTGATACAAAGTAAGTATATACAAGTTTGCAGAATATAAAAATAAATATGATTTCATACAGTAGCAATAGACAATCAAGAGGAAAATTCATATAAATATCACTTTCAGTAGCAAAAGAAATATAAGGTAATTAATAGCTTTTGCAAAAGATATGAAAAACTTTCATAGTGAAAACTGACAAATACTGTTGAGAGAACTTAAAAATGACTTAAATAAATGGAGAGCTATATTGTCAATGTTCATGGATTAGAAGAATCGATATATTTGTCAGTTATCTCTAAATTGATAACATAAATTCACCAATCCTAATCAAGATCTATTTTGCAAAAATTAACAGATTGATTCTAAAATGAATATGGAAATACAAAGATCTGAGAGTAGACAAAATAACTTTAACATCTATAATAAAGTTTGAGCACCTATACTTCCTGACTTCAAACTCCACATTTAGTCTTAGTAATCAAAGCAGTTTGTTATTGGCATAAAGGTGGGCAAAGAGATCAAGGCAACAGAATTGAGAATCTGGAAATAGACCTATGGTCAGTTGCCTCTCGATGAAAGTACAAAGACAATTCAGTTCAATTTATTGAACATTCATATTTTTAAAAATTTGCACCAAGTATAAAATTAACTGAAAATGGATCATAGCCCTAATGTAAAACCTCTACAGGAAAACATAGAAGAAACTGAATAATTGCGATGTACAGAGATTTCTTAGATAAAAACAAAAACATGATTCATAAGGAAAAATTGTAAATCAGGCTTCATCAAAATGAAGAACTTAATTTTCCTCAAAAGCATTATAAAGAGAATGAAAGGAAAAACCACAAACTAGAAGAATAGTTGTAAATCAAAAATGTGGTAAAAGGACATGCATGTGGGTATGTAAAGAACTCTGGAGATCTGATAACAAGAAAAATAGCTAAATAGTAGAATACTTAACCCAAAGAAGAAATAAAATTATGAAAAATGCTAAGCATCATTTTCCAATAAGGAAATGTAAATTTAAAATCACAATGAAGCCTGTAATCTCAACAACTTGGGAGGCTAAGGCAGGAGGATTCTACAATCCTCAAGGCCAGCCTCAGCAACTTAGACCTTGTCTCAAAATTTAAAAAGAGATGGGGATGTGGCTCACTGTCTAAGTGCCCCTGCGTTCAATCTCTGGTGCCAAACGTACACACAGTGAAGTACCACCACATATTAGAATGTTTAATATTGAAAAGGTTTTACCAAACCATTTTTGGTAAGAACACAGAGCAACTATAACACTAACATACTGTTGGCATTAATGTAAAATGGTACAGCCACTTGGAGAAACAGTTGGACAGTTTCTTAGAAAGTCAAATGTACACCTACTGTAAGACCCAGCCATTTTACCCCTTGATATTTGTCCAAAATTAATTTAAATGCCTATACAAAGACTTGGACACAAAGCTTCATAGCAGTTTTATTTGTAATAACCCCAAACTGGAAGCAACCCAAATGTCCATCAACAGGTGAATGGATAAATTGTGTTATATATATATACAGTGGGATATTACCCAGAAATAAGATGGGTAAATCCTTGATATGTGTGGTAATATAGATGAATGGCATAGTATCATATTAAATGATAAGAATACAAGGAATACATCTTATATGATTCTGTTTATAAAAATTCTAGAAAATACAAATCTATCATGACAGATCTTATCAGTCATTGCCTGAAGAGGGATTGAATAGAGGACACAACTGCACAGGGGACAAAAAGACATTTGCAAGTGATGGATATGTTCACTATCATGATTGTGATGACAGTTTCATGGGTATTTAGGTATGTCAGTATAAATTGTGTGTTCTTTGTATGTGCTAATTAGTGTGTGTTAATTATGCCTAAGAACTTTTTTTTTAAGTCCCAGCCATCATAGAACTTGTGTTTTATTGGGAGTGTGGTGTGATGATGAAGATAAACAAATGTATGTATGTGTGTATTGTGTGTAAAATGGTTTTTGAAGGAAATTAGAGCAGTGTGAGATAGAAGATAATGGAGAGAGTATTGGATATATATAATTAGGAAAGTCCTTGCTAGTAACTTCACATTTGTACAGACCATTACGTTCCTTCGTACTCTTTTTGAAACTATGATTCAGCTTTTTAAAGTTAGAGGTGGTCATCTAAAAGGGCAGTAGTTTTCCCCTAATTTGAAGGCAGATTTAGGTTTTTTACCTCAGAAGGATGGAGATGTTAAGGGTGGTCAGAGTTGTGTAAAACCTAGTTCCACTGCCCATTTCAGCCAAAAGAATATACTGTTGTTATCTTTAGAATGGAATAATGAAGATCTCTTCGGTGCACATTCTTAGAATGGTGAGTTAGAAGGACTCATTCTCCCAATCAGAAGCTTGGTCTCCCAGTTTCCTGCCAGGTAGAGGAAATTACCCCTCAGTTTTCTAAAGAGAAAACCAGAACTTCTCAAGTGTGTATCGCCTGTGTTCTTGTGTGCATATATGTTATGCTGGTGAAGAGAATACACCGATTTATGAATGGAAAAAGTAAGGTTTCTATCAGTGGAGTGGCCCGATTGCTAATGCCCAGTCATCTTAACAGAACAGCTAGAAGGAAATGTGTTCTGGGGGGTTGAAGGATGCTGAAAGAAGAGCCATATTGTTCTTAGTAGTCATTGTAGCTAATGAATAGAACCTGAATTTGGTTCCATCCCCAAAAGAGTGCTTGCTAGAAATGAGACCTTAGAATACTTTTGTACTGTGGGCAAACAGAGAAAAAGTGTTAAAAAGATTCAAAATGCTTTGTAACATGTGCCATAAACTGAAATGTGGTTCTCTATTTTGAAAACATGCTTTTAACTCTGCTCATCTCCCAATTTTTAAAAAAAGTAATCTGTCTAGAGAATAATTTAGAAGATTTTGCCTTTTTATTTAATATAAATTTGGTGACAGTGAGAGTGGGAAAACAATGATCTAAAGCCAATTGTGTATTTGTTTCTATAAATTTTTTCATAAAACATCCTAATTTCTGTCATTCTTGTTTGCCATTTTCCTATTGCTATGAGAATTGTATTCTGTTCTGAATTGTATTCTGTGCTTATCAGAGCATACAGTGTGACTCCAGGCTGTGGAATTAGGCATCCTGTGTTTCAAAACTAAAATAATCTTTAAGCATTCCCTGTTCCCAAGAGTCAGAGCCCTGAGAAGTAGGAACCCTGTGACAGCCCAGCTACCTCCTGGCCTGTGGAGGTTCAAATGGATCTGGCTTTTATAACCTTCAACAGCCTGTGTTTTTTTATTTTTTTTCCCCACTCCTATGCCTGCTGCAGGACCCACTGAGCCCAGCTCTGTCAGTCCTAAAGAAGTTACTCTGAATATCTTTTGTGGCACTGTTCCCTTTGAGTATCCAGTAAAAGCTATGAGCAGAATTTTACATCTAACTTCTAGGGCTACATGAGTCCTTAGTCCAGGCCAAGGGCAGGGATAAATGCCTCTCTCAAATAAGCAGAGTTCTTTATGAAGTTCAGCACACTGCCTGTGACATAGTGAAAAACTGTATTGTTATATTTTTAATACTGACCTCTTCAGCCAAGCACATGGAGGAGAAGAAAGAAAAGCCACAATGTTGTGCTTTTGGGGCACTAGGAAGAGCCACATTTTGTCAGAGTAGTCAAATGAATATGACTTTGCACATACATTTGTTAACAACAACAAAAATAGGAAATCTTTTTCAGTATCTTCCTCCCACCCTATTTTATAGGTCCTTGTTGTTCTGTTTCACATAACCTCTCAAATTTTTATACAGAACATCCAAGAACTCACCGTTCTGTCTTCAGACTGTTAATGGGGAAGCCACACACCCTATCTGTGACTCAGTCTTTTGTATTGTTCCTTTTACTATTTGCTCTCTAATTTTATCCTTGAAATCAATTTTCCTAAATTGAACTTAGTTAACAATACTCACTCTTTCTTCCTTTTCTTCTTGCAGCTTGTACCTCCTTTTAAGCCTCAAGTAACATCTGAGACAGATACCAGATATTTTGATGAAGAATTCACAGCTCAGACTATTACAATAACACCACCTGAAAAATGTAAGTAAATTTAGAAGGTAACTGATAACAGTCTAAAATTATTGAAGAAAATAGATATTTTTAAAAGATCATTTGGTTTGTTTTTGTTGTCATTGTTGTTTTGGCTGGGAATTGAATCCAGAGGTACTTTACCATTAAGCTATACCCCTAGATACCCCTAGTCTCCTAGTCTTTTTTATTTTTTTAATTTTGAGACAGTGTTTTGCTAAATTGCTCAGGCTAGCCTCAAACTTGGAAACCTCCTGCCTCAACCTCCCAAGTTAACTGGTATTGCAGTTTTGCACCACCATGCCCTGGTTCATTTGATTATTTCAAGACCAAATTTCATAGTGACTTTTATTCTTTTTCATTTAAGATTGTGGAGTTCCCTTTGTGTAAATACCAAAGGTGACTGCAAGAAAAACTTTTCTGAGAAGGAAAAATGACATGTATAATTATTGTAAATGAAATTACAGACTGATTAGCCCTTCCTCACTATTCTCCAGTAGATTCTTTTGACATCACCTGGAAGGATTCTGTAGCCTCCATTTCTAAGACCTTTCTCATTCACATGCCACATTCAAAATTGTGCCAATTCTAATCTGGCCATTATTTAATGGTGAGACACTTCTTCTAAATTAGCATTCTCTTAAGCAGTAATATCTGTGAAGACATAATTTAGTTTGCTATTAATTTTTATACACATAAATTATATTTTATATTTCTTAAATGGTATGTTCATGTACCACCACAAATTATTCCACATAAATTAGAGTATGCTCCACACTTTGAGAAACACCATAAATAACTGGACTTTAATTAAAGGAAAGCTTACCAGATATAACTTGAAAACCTTTTCATGTTGACAAAGGTCTGTCTGTTATTGATTTAGGAATGAGGGTAGGATTGATTGTCAGGGTGATATTTGAATAGCTAAAAAATTTCTTTAAGGAACACAACTAAGGCTCACACAGTGACATCATGTGCATGTTTTTTTCCTTGTCCTCTGTTCCTCACGTTCTCCTCTTCTGTTAGTTGGTAGTGCTCATGTACACTGAATGCCCATTAGAGGGAAAGACTAAAGTGAAATACTGTTCCAGCAATGGTCATAATCAACTGATATTAGTCTTGAAAGACAAAGTAGGAGTCATTTGGGCCCAAACTTCTTAATCTGGAGTTCATAACCTGGCAACAAGGAAATTGTGAGCACCCTAAGATGAAAGATATAATTATGTGTGCATGTGCACTTCTTTTTTCTTTCTTTAGATTTTTAAGAAGTTAAGAACCTCTAAACTTTATTTTTAAAAGTGAAGAAGTTGGAATGCAGAGAGAAATTGAGCTGCTTAAGGCCTCTAGTTAGTGTCAGTCACAGCCAGAGCAGAGCTCACCAACTTAGCTGATGCCAAGGTTAAGTTATAAAATATTAGCATGCAGAAGTGGGCTCTATGTGCCATTAGAATTTTAGTATCACTAAGAGACAAAGACAATGTTAGAAAGTCGTCTGTGGAATCCTGGGCAAGTAACTTACAGGCCATCTGAATAGAAATAATGGGACATCTTTGGTCTCTGGCCCCAGCATGGAATGTGGCAATATAATTGTTCAAAATGCTGGGCAACATCACTGAGTGGTTGGAGCAACCCATGGACAATTACCAATATAGAGCATTTGCTAAGTCCCATCATTTGGATATAACCCTAATTGTAATTAGATCATCATTCTTCAACCTAATCCTTCCAGTGGTTCCCATTGCACTATATATCCAAATTACTCACCCTGGCTCACACAGCCCTGTCAGATCTGGGCCTTCTACCTCTCAGGCCTCTTTTTATTTTATCTTCCCGCTCAGTCCCCATGATCCAGCCATACCTGGAATATGCCACAGTTCACTATGCCCTGGGACTTTGGTCTTTCATGGTTCTTTCTGCCTAGGATGCTCTGTGTCCCAGATATTTGCATGAATGGCTACTTCTTGTAAGAAAACTTACATTACTTCATCAGAAATCTACCTTTAACCTTTCAATACAAGAAACAGGCTTCCTGACCCTACCCCCTGACACTCTTATTCTCTACATTGACACCTTCACTTGCTGTTATTTTTCTGATTAATTTTGTTGTTGTTGTTTTCTATTTATGCCACTGGGATACAGTAGCTCTGAGAGGAAGGATCTAGTGTCTCTTAATCGTTGCTTGCCCCAGCTCCTGGCTAGAAGCCTGGCCCTAGTGTAAGTACTCAATGAATACTTACGAGAGGTGTGAATTCACAGACTGTGGCAACGGGCTGGGGGGCCTTAGGGCCCGGAGCTGTTGCCCATGGGTGCTTGGCTTGCTTCCCCACTCCATATCCACAGTGGGCATTGGGATAGGAAGGTCTTGACATGTCCATGGCTCCAGCCTCTTTGAGACTGGTTCCTTTCTTAAACAGGGCTTTTGGCATCTGTGGACACTTTTTCAGGACAGTTAAATATATTATTTTGGATGTCATAGAAATAGGTGGGCTCTGTAAATGCAAAATCATGAATAGATATTTTATTTCTGAAATTTAAAAGTGAAAGTTTGGGAGACAAGTGAAGATGAAAAAACCCTGGGCTAAGACCTGAGGAACCATCTTGTGTTCTATCTTTACTAGCTCTAGGATGTGACAGGTCATTTTGTCTTCTGGAAAAAGTAAGTAGAGGAATAAATTGTCTCTAGGAGCCCTGTGTTTGCTATGTGCCTGAGAAACCATCTCTTTAAGAAAGAGACTTCTCTAAGTGTGAATAACAACCCCTAATTTTGATTTACTCAGTCACTAGATTAACCAGTCTATAGTGTTACTTTTTCTGTTTTCTTCTACCTGAAGAGTGACAATAGGCCAATACAATAAACAGGTAGCTAAAGGGGATAATGGTGAGTGCAGGGCTGTGGGGAAGAGACTGACTAAAGTAGGATGCTAGGGAATATAAGGCTACAAAGACCACAACAAAAGTTGAAAAATCTACTAAGTTACAAATAAGTTAAATAAAAATAGTTATCAAGACCTTTATAGCTAGTCAGTTGTTATTTCATTTTTGCCTTGAATTTTAAAGCCCTAGCTGTCAAAGAACAGAAAATCTGAACAATTCATCTTATCTGCTTTATCCTGAACTCCAAGCACTTGTGGCAGTTGTCCTGATGAGAATTTGTCACTTGTGTGCATTTTATTGTTGTTTCTAGAACTACTGAAATGAGATTAAAATATTAGAAGGTACCTTAAGGCCCTCAGCAGTGTTTTCTAGAACATAATTTGAACCTAGTTCCTCAGCTTGATTAAATGATGATACAATGTGAAAGCCAACAAGAGTGTTTTTCCTGATTTATCATGTTTTATCACTAAGCACCTCTTTTCTGAAAGGAATATATGTCATCTCAGATGTGGGTCATGCTAAATAAGCTTCAGTGTCTTTGAGGGATTTTAGATTTGTTTCTACAATGAGACAGAGACAGGAAGCCCATACATTATACTAATCTCCATGGTGGATATCAGCCCCCTGCAAGGCCTATGGAAGGCCTGTCTTTTGTGGATATCAGAAGTAGGGTGAGGTTCTGGACAATACAGAACAGGAGCCCATCAGTATCCCCCATAGTCCAGGCAGGTAGAGCACAGTAGATTTGTGGGTTCACTCTTCTATTAAGAACCTGTAGGGGGCTGGGGATGTGGCTCAAGCGGTAGCGCGCTCGCCTGGCATGAGTGTGGCCCGGGTTCGATCCTCAGCACCACATACAAACAAAGATGTTGTGTCCGCCGAAAATTAAAAAATAAATATTAAAATTCTATCTCTTTCTCTCTCTCTCTTTAAAAAAAAAAAACCTGTAGGGATGATGGCAGATGAAAGTGCTCTGTAGAGTGCACTTCTGCACAACAGACACACATGTGTTTGCAGGCCCTCTCCTGTTGCCCAGGACTGACTAGTCATGCCTCCCCTGGCTCCCTATAGGAAAGGGTGGCCTTAATGACTGATAGCTATAATCTCAGGTTCTACTAGAACTAGAGCATTGTTTTTAGTTTGATAATCCCTGGATCTATCCTGCATTCCCTTAAGGGACAGATAAAAGGAGAGTCAGTGAAACCCAAACTGGGATCACATTTGAACATAATCTGTTCTTTGGGCAGCTCTGAATAGTGGCACAGGTAAGAAATTCTAGCAGCTCTAACAACTGGCACACACTGAGGTTTTGTTCATGAGAGTCCACAGCAGTACCGTTGGTCAGCAACTGTCTTCCCACTTGCCATCTTGCTTCTATAAAAAAGAATAAAGTTATTTTCCAGAACAAATCAGCAGTTAAGAAAGGCAAAATGTTCCATTTTCTGCAAACAGCTGCAGTAACATGCCAGATTGTCCTCACTGGTGTTAATTAATTGAACAGATTTTGGAATGTGTTGTCTTTCGTTAGATCCATTAATGGTCCTCTGCCTTCCTCTTACAAAAAAAGAAATTCTTTTGAGATTTGGTCACTTTTACTGCTATATAATTTGTTAAATGCTCTAAGAAAATTGGGGACCTGGTGCTCCTTAGATCCAGGGATCCAGAAATAGTTGAGTTGATCATCCTGTTTTCTTTTTCCAGATGTGTGTTTGTTTATGTAGTTCATGTTCATCATCATTGTTGTACCTGTGGAGGTCCTTTTGTAGCAGTAAACTCAGACGATTTATTGTCCCTACCCCCACCTCACTCATACTACAGTCCCACCTGCCCCAGTAGCACTGAGGGCCCAAGAGATGCCCCTGCCTTCCTTTCCAAGCTGATGCCCAGTTGGGCCATGATCAGATAGTCAGTCTTCACTGTTACCAATTCTGAGAAAACAGAAGGGAGCAGGAGTGATCAAGTGATCAGTGGATTTAAATAATATTAAGATATAGAACCCCCAAAGATAATCTGTGAAATTTTCAATTTTCTTGCTGAAGTGACAGAAGGAAAGCTGTCTTAATTCTCAGCTTACATCCAGCAAAAACTCATCCTCCAAAAGGAAATGCAGTACTGCCCATGAGGAGTACCTGCATAATCCAATGCTGAACCTTGCCAGCCTAAGATGAGGCCTGGTCATAGCCCAGGGCGCCAGGGAAGCCTTTGCCCTTCACTGGCTGAGGGAGATAAGCTCCAAACATCCCCACACATGGTGTCCAGGGCTCACTGCACATTTGCTGAGTACAGAAACACCCAGCAAAACAAAGCTGTTAGTGGGAAAAACTGTTTCTTTGAAATGTGATTGTCACATGTCAGTGTCTGAACACTTAATTAAGATTTCAGCTGCTTTTTCTTGAGAGTTTTTATATTGTGCAACTCAGTAGTAGATATGTCATCGTTCCCTAGATCTTCCTAGATTTCATGCAGCAGAAAATATTGCTGAAGGTGTTTGATCTGAAAGATGCACATGATTTGATTGGTACTAAACCAAAATTTTATAGAGATAGAGGTTTCCCTAAGCCTGAGCACTATCTGGAAATGCTGGCAGTCCGTTTGCAGAGCAAGACCTGAGGAGTTCATGTCCCACACAGAAGAAGGAGCCACACATATTGCCTTATATTTTGATTCTGCCAGTTGATTATACAGTTAATAAAGTTACAAATTTTCATTACTACCAACTTGGTTCCATTTCTGAGAATCTTCTGCATTAGTAACAGACTACAGAAAACAAGACCAGTGAGAAAAGAAAAAACGGAGCAGAGATGTTTGTTCTTCAGATGAAGGCAAAGTGCCATTTTTGGTGGGGTGACAGGATCAGTGTGCATTACAGTAAGTCTGGCCTCTCTTCTTGCTCTCCTTATATGAAGTTGGTATTCCCTGGAGAGGCTGGAAAGTAAAAAGAATTGGTAATGTACCTCTGATATGGATTTGAAGAAATAGAGTTATTTTGCTTGAAGAAAAAAGCTTTTAATTTTGATTGGTTGTAAGACAGCATACAATTAAATGAGCTTAGAATGGAGCAGGGGAGACTTTAAATGGAGCACTTTCCCCAGTGGACAGACGGTGAGCTCAGGGACCATTGGAATTTTGTTCTGAACTCCCTCGATGGGGTCTGCATGGCGCTCGGCCCCAAACAGTTGTACAGGGATTGTGTGTTGGCTGAGGAACAAAGTGTATGGCCACATCCAAGGAAGAGCTTCCTGCTAGTGTAGGATTGTAATCAAACAGCAGTTATGGGAAGAGGAGGTGTGATCATTTGTGATCTTGTAAATACAAGAGAACAGGAGGAACAGCTTAATGTTAGCAGCCTTCTTTGTTAAACCTTTTCTCCTGATCCATTTTCTGGTGAATTAGGCCTTGGATACTGCCATCTTTTCCTCTTTTTCTTTGTTTCAGTCTTTTATTCTAGTTTAAAACTTTAGCATAGGAAAATTGAGAACAGTGAGTTAAGGCAGATGTTAGATGTTGAATAAAACTGCATATGAAGCTTTATTTTGCAATCACACTTAAGTACCAGAAAGAAAAAATGTGAACACTTGAAGACATGATAATGGATCCTTTATAGATATTTTGGGTGCTGTATAATTCGTTGGCTTCTGTAATTTGGACTTATATGATTTTATGAAATAAAAGGTTATTAAAAATTATTCCTTTATAAATTCTGTTTTCTTCGGTGGTAGTTTTTTCTTTTTCCTTTTTTTTTTTTTTTTTTTCAGTTTCATTGAGTCATGAGATTTTGATGCCTTGGAGATGATTTTATAGTATTATTTCTGCACAGACCATGAGTTTATAAAAATTGGGTAATTTTTAAAATATAATTACTGTGTGTTTTAGTGATAAACACAAGTTTATGGGAGCTCTTGTCCCTGTTAATCCTTCTTATGTTAGAAGTTAAAAAACATAGACCAGAAATAATGTTGCAAAAAATAAATGTGAAATTAAGACAGCTGTTTCCTGCCTGCAGATGACGAGGATGGTATGGACTGCATGGACAATGAGAGGCGGCCACATTTCCCTCAGTTTTCCTACTCTGCAAGTGGACGAGAATAAGTCTTTCATTCTGCAACTTCACTGTCATCGTAGATTTTATTACTGAAAATGATTCCTGGGCATCATCACCAGTCCTAGCTCTTACAGATAGCAGGGGTTTCTCCGGCATCCCAGACCAGCCAAGGGTCTTCACCCCTCGCCATCTTTCACTCACATGAAAACACGTATATACACAAACACACTCCAGTTTTTGTTTTTGCATGAAAATGTATCTCAGTCTAAGGTCTCATGCTGTTGCTGCTACTGTCTTACTATTATAGCAACTTTAAGAAGTAATTTTACAATCTTTGGAAGTCATGAGCCCACCATTGTTCATTTGTGCACCAGTTGTCATCTTTTAATCTATTAGTTTTTGTTTTTCCCCAGCAGTGAAGGCTAAATGAGATACACTGATTCTAGGTACATTTTTTAACTTTCTAGAAGATAAATCAAAAACTAATTAGATTAGAAGAATCTAGTTTATATTTCAAAACAAGCAATTGTGGAAGGATGGTGATGTGCATATGCACAAATTTAGTCAAGGATGTCCAATCAGTGCATAAAGTAAGTCTGTATTCACTAAGGTTTGGCTGGAATTTATTAGGAAGCACTTGAGAGAGGAGTTGAGTAACTATTTTATATACATATATATATGTATGTATGTATACACACATATGTATATATACACACATATACATATATGTATGTGTATATGTGTGTGTGTGTGTGTGTGTGTGTGTATATATATATATATATTTTTTTTTTTTTTTAATTCTTGTTGGATACTACAGAGGAAGCCTGGTATCACACATGGACATCCAGACTTCATGGGCAATCATGGGCAAATGGACATTGTTCTACCAAGAAATGAAGCATATGCACAAAATCAAAGTCACTTAAATGGTCTCATGATACACTTTGTGCCAGAGGGTATTTTTCCCTGTGCTCGGCAACCCTTTTTCCTTCTTGATATTTATCACCTCTGATGGCTGAAGAATGTAGACAGGTATAATGATCCTGCTTTCACCAAAATTTGTATACCAAGGTAAACAAGTGTTTGCCTTATTAGTTTTAATTTTTTACTTTCAGTTCTAGGTGAATTAGCTTTTTCTCAGATGTTACAACTTTGAATGTCCTTTTATGGTTTTGTTTATATTGCAGTAGTATTTATTTTTTAGTGATGAGAATTGTATGTCATGTTAGCAAATGCAGCTCCAACTTACATGAAATAGACTTACTGCAGTTTCTTTTGACCCATGTGCAAGAAATATACACATCGATGAGAATAATGCACTTTTCCTCCTATGTAAAAAAAAAATTGATAAGGTTCTGAAATTGTACAGATTGATTAGAATTTGGCTTTGGGAGAAGAGATGCTATCATTTAACCCCGTGGTGCTGAAAATTTTTAAAAATCCCCAAATGTCTGTGCCCAAGGGGTTAATGAAACAAATAGATATTGATGTTTTCTCACTTGAGAACTGAAATGTTAGGATGGCCTGGCAGCAAAACATAATGAAGAAAATTGAGACCTGAATGATGATAAGAAATGAACTTTACTTTGAAAAATGAACGTATTGCAAGTATTTATGAAGTAGGCAGTAAAGGATAAGAACCTGGTGTGTTTATTCTGATCAAGGTACATTTATCACTGAATTAAGCCATCAGGGAAAACAAAAAAGAACACCTCTAGCTTTTCTTTTTCTGTAAATACTCATGTCTCCAAATCCCAACATTTTTCACTGAGAGGAGACATGTATGCAAACCTCATCTTTCTCCTTCATTAATGATGATCTTCAGATTAAACCCTTTGGTGCTAGGAGCTGACATTTTCCAAAGCAGCCTATGAAGTCCAAGGGCAGGGTCCCTTCTTACAGCAAGTGGGAGGGCATCCCACCCCATGGAGTGATTATGGAAATGTGTTCTAGATAAACTGACAGCTCCCAAATGGAAGACTACAGCATGACGTAGTATTATGATTGCATTGTATGAAAGAGCAAGTGACTTTCTAAGTAGGATGAATCATGTTCATATGCAGATGTCTTAGCCTCTCGACGCTGGAAGTGTGGATTATAGCTCTTAAGCCACTGCTGGCGGTGGGTGGGCCACTGGGACTGATGGGGTTAAAGGGCATTCTACTAAGGCAGCTAAGACATATTCAGACATAGATTTTATCCTAATTTTTCATATTTCTACTTGAGTCAAGTTCATACTTAATATTAAGTAGGAAGTTACAGTAAGTAGTAGTTCATTCTTATTTACATCTATAGCTTAATTATTTTTTTTTCCTACTGGGAATTATATTGAATGTTCCACATTGAAAAGAAAGTAGACCAGAAGGTTTGTCCTTTAAGTTGTCTTGCATCCAATATATAAGAAAGAAACAGGTGAGAGGAAAAGAAGGAAGCTGAAACTAGCTGATGTTCAGAGCATTTGCTGCTTCAGAGAGAAAGTATGACACTGTACACTAAGCACATAGCTTTTGTTTTTTTCTCCCCAAATCTTAAGATGATTTCCATGACATTGGCCAAGGATACTTCCTAAAGATTAATGACGGCTCTGATAATGGTCCAGGCTGGCCACTGCTCTCACAGCTGGCCCTCAGTCCTCAGCCATGTGCAGGGCTCAGTCATCCCCTTCTTGGCTCCATCAGTGTCAAACGAGGTGTGTTCTTGGCTTTGATTTCTAGGATCCCTTCCTTTTACTCCCAGATCTCAAGTCATCTGGCATGGAGGCATGATGAAACACAGAAAGGTGTACAGAGGGAGATGATGAAACTTCCCTGTGTTGCCCATAGTTGTAGTTTGGGATTCTGGCAGGCAGGACAGCCTGACACCTAAAATCATCCTGTTGGAATACATTCCAACTTTGTGAACTCCAGCTCATACTGTCATGAAGTTGACCTCGTGTCATAATGCAGCCATCTTGGAGGAAATTGGCTACTTCTGCTCGGATTGTTGGCAGGGTTGCTCACAGCTTTGCTTTCTATACTAATTACATAGCATTATTCCAGTATTGTTTTCCATTTCCTGTACCTGATTTCCGGCTTCTTAAAGCTGACTGTTCTTGCAGGGGCCACTTGCTTCTCCTAAAGTACAAAAGTAAGGGCCTTCCTTACTAACTGCAGGGTCTATATACTACACCTCAATGTACACACTTTGCTGCTACTGTTTGTACTGTCTACAGTAGAATTTCCTTATCTTGCTCCTGGTAGTGCATTACAGGCAAGCATGAAATGTAAAGTATTTATTTAAATAAAAAGAAAACCTCTAAATTGGTAATTGAATTACCTCCCTGTAGCTTTATAGTTTGTGACATTTCTTGACCTTGCTAGTTCTTTCATTAGGTCCGCGCAAGATCTAGTCATCTGGTTAAGGATTTTAAGCAGACGCAACTATGAACCCAAGAAACTGTATTACTATTACTGTTGGTCATACTAAAACTGTTTATTTCCTTAAGTATATGACCCACAAGGATGTGAAATAACTACAAGAAACTGTTTTTGTACACTGTACATCCTTAGTATTTTTACACGTATATGATAGGGATGCACATTATTTTCCTTCGTACAGACAGCTTAAATAAAGCACTATGTCAATCTGCTACTTCTCTGTTTGTTGTTGTTGGATGTGGTTCTGTAATCTCAGAAAATTAATATTCTTTTCTGAAAGAAAAATATAATAGCCCCCCACCTGGTATTAACCTATTCTTTATAAGATGTGACAGGAAACTATGTAAATTCCTCTTATCTCTAAACACAACACAGGGAATTATCTTTCCTTCAGTAAGATGGCAATAGTGTGGTTGTACAGACTTTGATGAAGGCTTCCAAAGGGGAGATGCTGGCCTCTCAGCACTGGGTTTATGACAGACCTGTGAAGCCAGGGGTGGAAGAGGGCCAGGCCATGGGGATTCATTCAGACCCTGATAATCTTCACAATAAATGGTTTGAATTTGAATTTTTAGGGAGTGTAGTTCCTCAGTAATGTCTTCCTGATAATGTACTGCTCTGCATACTACTTTCTTAGGAGTGTAATCTTAGTACTTCATGGCAATTAATGAACTTAGATGTGGGTCCTAGATGGGTAGGATGGCTGGACTACAATCTGATTTATGTTGAATCATTTCAGATGGGGCCTTTTTCTGATTTTACCTCATAAAGCTACTATTGTAGAACTTGGCTTTGCTCCTGTGACTCAGCCAGAGAGAGGAAAAGCTTAGGGTCCAGAGTCAAGCATGTGGGTGTATGTCACACAGCCAAATCTGGGGGCATTCTTACATGTGCTCTTCTCTCAGAGTCACTGAGGTTGATGGATCCAGGAGGCTGAGATAAAGTGACCTCTAACATTCTTTAAAGGTGCTATTTTTAGAATATTGTATAATTTATTCATGGTATACCTAAAACAGAATTAAGGACAGTTAAAATATCTTATGTGACAGCCTTTATGTCTAGCACATTTGATGAAATCAAACACTCTGAATAGAAATACTGCTGTTTCAAGCTTGAGCCTTTGACACACTCCAGAGATGAGAGTGGTCGCTCTGTATGGACCATGCCACCACCTCCAAAGCCTAATCCACACAAATTCTGAGTGGCAAGGCTGGGCATCTAGTACCATCAGATCTGTGATGATGCTGATGATGGGTTGCTGGCCAGGGAGAACAGCAGGTCAGGGGCTTGTCCCAACTGTAGACTCAGTGTCCATTTTTATTCCTTTCAGACATTTGAGGGCTTGACTGTGTATAGTAGAAATACTATTTTAGGCCAAAAATAATGATCTGTGTACAGATATTTGATATACTCTAAGACATTTTCTAATTTCTCTTAAGTACATTTATAGGCTCAAGTACTGCTATTGAAGGAAAAAAAATCTGACACCACCGAGCCAAAGATGCTTTTCTTTTTGTCAGTTTTTGTTGTTTACAGAATGGAAAGAGTAAGGCACAGTGCTTCCTGGTGTCTCCTGAATGTGCACATATTAATAAGATGACAAATAATGGATGTTGATTAAAAGCAAAGAGAGATGAAGGATGATACATATCAGGAAAAGGGAAAGAAAAATGGCAGGAAAAAGTCTGGTCCTTAACACATCTGGCCTAGTTAAAATATGTGCCTTTTTGGTGTTTTGTGTTCATTACTACAAGGTAGAAAGGAAACATTACAATTTAAGTCTTTAAAAAAGGTCATTTATTGAAATTCCTATGTATAACCTAGTGTGTTTAAAATTAGCATATTTAAAAACAGTAACTTCAAGCCATTTCTGAGAACATATACCAGGAGTCTCCTCATCCAGGTTCAGATTTCAATTCTAGCCGGTTCCTAATGCAGGGACGAAAAAACGAGGCATGAGGACCAGCCCCAGTGCAGTCCGAGGTGGTATTACCCTGGGAAGGTGCGGTGTGTTGTGGCATATTAAGTACAAATCAGATGAATGTAAATATCTCTTTGTAAACCATTTATTTCACTCTGTTTCATCCAGGTCAGCAATCAGATTGTGGCATGCTGGGTAACTGGAAAAAATGATAATAAAAAGTAAGTTTAAATAGATCATGTTCCTCAATGTGATTTGTCTTCTCATTTGCTGGTTTAGTCACTGTTTATTACTAAATTTCTAGAGAAAAAATTTTCTATTGGTAAAAATGAGAAAGTTATATATAACCAGTTGATGAAACCTTTCCATCTCATCCTGACCACAGATCAAATCCCTTGTTGCATATGAATATAAGTTTAACAATTTTATTTTAATGTTTTCAATCTAAAAGCCACCTTTACTACAGAACATTGTGCCTCCGAATAAGGATATCTGATGTTAGGACATGTCCAGAAAAGCCATCTCTCTCCCTCTCTGGGTATATTTGTGCTAAAATTGATCTCACAGTGGACAAAGGATGAAAAACAGTGTGAACCAAGAGCCCCTAAGAAATTCTTGAAGCAGTACAAGCTGAATCCTTCCATTTTTAGATGCAGACAGTTTATTGCAATGTTTAGAAGCATTTTTGCATGGAAACCTCCCACATGCTGGAAAAGGGAATCTGGGGTATTGTGGTCTCTTGGTTTTAAACAAGGGCATTAAACATTTCAAAACCACTTCATGTAAATTGGGTTAGAAGGAGAACCACAAAGTTAGTACTGTCACCTGCCTCTGCTGATATGATATGGCTGTTAACATTAGTTTAAACCATACCAAGAAATAGCGTCAGAAAGCACTAAATGGTTACCTTGAACAAAACAACCTTGAGTCTCCACTGTGCCCTAAGTGGTGAGGTAACAACACAGTCCTGCCTCCAGGAGTGTGAAGTCCAGGTGTTTTCCAAATCCCAATTTACACTTCAAAAGGTGCATGGTAATGCAGTGCAGGGCCAGGGGCCCAGCCTGGTCTCTGTAACAGGGAACATCTCAAAGAAACAGAAGTGGACCAGCATGTCCAGAATTCAAGGGATATCTCTGTCAATCATGATTAAGTGTTGGGGATCTCCAAGTTGGGACAGTGAGATCAAAATCAGAATTTACCCAAGGGAAATATAAGAAACTCACATCTTGCCTTTTTTTAAAAAGCAAGAAAGGTTGTTTTTACATTTCACATAGATTTCACAATGTATGAGATGCTGATGATGACTTTTAATGAGTAGGAGGATCTCCACACAGGGCAGAGGCCCATGTGCAGACAGGCTGCACAGGATTTGCAGGTATGGCACAGAAGGAGGCCTCCCTCTGCCCACCAAAGTGAGCTGGTGTTATGATTGATGCACACGCCAAGTTAGGGGGATGGGTGGTGGGCGGGTCCTCTTAGGCTTCCTGAGCCCTTCTGCTGAGGGGGCCACCAGGAGTCTACCGTGCCCCAAACCCTGCCATTGCAGAGGGGCTCCCTTCTTTTCTTGGCAGCACACAGCCTGCAGCACACAGACTCCATCTGACCATAGCCAGCCAGTGCCTCTACCTAGAGCTGATTTCCTTCCAGTGGGGCTTGAATGACCGTCCCTGCTTTGTGGCTTGGCCAAGGAAGGCAATGCCTGGTGGCTTGGATACCTCCACACAGTGGCTTATTTCCTAACTTTACAAATTCTACAATGACTTTAAAACTAGGATAAACATAACCCACCGGCATATTTGAAAAGAAAAATATGAATTAACTGGGTACAAAGCACACTTCACCCCATACACCCAATACAGAACATGGTAAAAACCTGAAGTAGAAGTAAAATTGTTGTAGAATTTTATTTTATTTTTTTTTCAACTAAGCCCCAGGAAACTGGCATCACTTCTCATAACAAGCCTTCGTAATGCCCATGGGCTCCAGGCGCACCTAGTAATTCATCATCAGCTGATCTGTCCCCTGAAGCCACTCAGACTGCTCTGTTGAAACCGGTGGCTGCCTGCTGCCTGCCATGGCTGCAAAAGGCAACAGATGTGAGGTCCTCAACAGGAACACGCGGACATCGACCTGAACTTCTCCCCCTGGAGCAAACCGGCTGTCCCTGTCATCATGTTGTACATTTCATCTGGTTTGGTGGGAAGCCCCATATTCAGACTCACTTTCACATTATAGCACTTCCTGTTCACAGGAAGTGCCTACAGTGGGCTGGACCCCTAATAAGCCCTCTAGTTTGTATTTGCTGAGTGAATAATTCACCTTGTCATGTCACTGTTTTATCCGCTGAAGGCAGCACTCTGTATCATCCTGTTTGCTGAATCCTCTGTGACACTTTTCAGTGTTCCCCCTCATCCTCCACTTGTCTGGTGCCGGCTGAGGCAGGAGTTCCTCCCACAACCAGCTTCTCTGCCACCCTTTCTGAGGGTGCTAGTAATGCATGTTTCCAGAGCTGGTTCTACTGTCCACACCATGTGATTAGGGTCTCACTGTCCCGGAGACAGGTGTGTGCCTGTAGGACTTGAGCCAGTCAGAACTGTGGCTTAAGCCCCCAGCCACTGTCTTCCTGTCCTCCTGCCTTGTAGCTTGCCATCAAGGCTCTTGCTGTGCCCCTCCAGGCTGTGAGGCCACATCTGCAGGGGTCTGTGGCTGCCTCTGTATCAGAGGTGAGCACCAGGGCCTTGGCAGCTGCTCTCTGAAATACTGCCTGCAGGCAATAGAAGCGCTTGTCTGCAGGCCCACCACTGCTAACCCATTCATTCGCATCTCTTCTCATTTTAAATCCTCAGAGCTTCCTCTCCACACAACAGCCTGACTTCCTGCCTAATTTATTTCTTAAGTTTGACTTTAGAGTTTAAAAAGTGGGTTGCTCTGAGCGATTTGAATTGATCCCCAGGCAACCATGCTACGGGGTACCCCCCACCCCAGCCTTTTCTGTTGCTTTATTTCCAAGCTGGCCTGAAAGGGCAGTGGTGGCAGCCAGGGAGGTGCTTAAGGAAGCACACTGCGCTCAATCTTCCCTAGGCTGCCACTTGAATCTCTTCTCTGGGCTTCTCTGCCACAGCCTTTCAGCAGCCCCTCCAAAGGCAACATCCCTGCACCCCACAACTTCTTGCTCCCTGCTTTGCACTCTATTGTTTGTACACTCTGTGTGACCAGGTCAAAATGGGCCTGTTCCCTATGCCTCTGGAAATTAAGCATTGGTTTTTATTTTTTTTTTAGGATTTCTAGTTGAAGATGGACAAATACCTTTATCTTATTCATTTTTATGTGGTGCCAAAGACTGAACCTAGTACCTCACATGAGCTACAACCCCCAGCCCCTAGCCATCTGTTTTTAACTAGAGCTCCTTCTGGGCATTTCTAAGCTTGCCCTCAACTGACAGCCCCAGGGCAGCTGCAGCTCCTGCCTCTATGTGGCCAAGGGCTGGGGCTTGGGTCCTGCTGCTGCTCTGGGCTCTAGTCCTCTCCTCCTTACCCTTTGGGACACCCAACTTGGGCCATTCATCCTGTGGCCCAGGTCACTTAAGAAGTTCAGAGGTTCCTTTCCCTATCCTTTCATTTCCCAGTCCCAGTCCCATTCACTCCATCTCTGTGGCCTTTACTCTTCTATATGTACAAAAAGGATATTAAAATGATTTGTCTCAAAAGGCCCCTTTAAGCCTACTAATCCTGTTGTTGTCATGGTCATCTGCTCTAAGCTGAGTAACATCAAACCTCCCTCTAAAAGGGAAGCTGAGTTTTTTTTTTTTGTTTGTTTGTTTTTTTTTTGCCAGAATCAAGTGACATGGAAGCTAAACAATTTGTTTTCCTGAAGTGGTGCAGAACATACGCCTTTGAATCCAGGACTATGACCTCCAAGTCCAGACTCTACTACTGGGCTCTCCCGCCATGCAGATTAGTGGAGGAACAGCAGAACAACCACTCTGCTGTTTATGGAATTAAGAAGGGCCAATTTGGAGGGCCACCTGGCATCAGCCAGACATGTGAGCACTGGGTGCCATCCATTTGTCGGAGAGAAAAGTGTCCTCACCCGTACTCTGCAGAATTTAGAGGAAATGCAATGCTTTATAGCAGGATGGCTCACTGCTTTACCAACCCAGTGGCACTGGGCTCCCAGGTCCCTGCAGTTCAGCCTCCATAGCACAAATAATCCTAGCACTTGCTAAGAGGTCCACGCCTCCTAGCTGGGTTCTGCAGAGCCTTTCTGGGAATCTAGCTATTGCTGGCTGCAAAACAGGGCAGGGGTTCATAGCAAGGTTAGCAGGGGCCTGCATCCACCCTTCCCTCACAGCCATGTGGCAGCAGCCAGAGCTCAAGACCTGTTTCCCCTTGATGGTGGGTCTCCAAGAAAGGCACCAAACTGTAGGTTCCAGAGCAATCAAAAGGCAGATGCAGGAAAGACTGTCTTGCAGACAGGGCAGCACTTTCTATAAAATAGCATCTTTGGATGGACTTGGGACTTGTGGTATGACAGGGAGGCAACCCCACACAGGCCAGGGATGCCTGTGCATACACAGAAGGGGTCAGCGTTGGGGCCTGGCATCCACTGTGTCGTCCCCTTCCAGAGCACACTTCCACAGTGTGTGGGATCTGAGTTTGTCATCTTCCAGCTCTCTTGAGTCCTGTAAGTCAGGAGCACTTTCTCTGAGCACAGGCAGGTGTTTGTGTTTTATGTGAACCATGTTTCCATGGTAAATAGATTTTAAGAATTCCCAGAGGACAGACAGTGTCACCAACAGCAGAGAGTGGAGCCTCTGGCTGCCTCATGTTTGAAAGCGTTAAAAATGAAGACAACATTGACATTTGGGGTTGTAATGTGACGGAATTACAGTCTTTTAAAGGCAAGAACCACTTATCTACACTACATGTAATATTCAGTGTTTTGTTCACTTGTCTAATTGGATTAAAATATTTAGCTCCCTTTAAAATCTTGATTGTGAATTTATATTGCAAAATGTAATGTCTGACTCAGGAAGCAATAAGTGGAGCAAATGCATCTGAAGCAACATAAAATTTAACTTATTTTTCTTCCATGATTATTATTCTGAAAGGATTCACTCTTAGACAAAGTGAACTGTTAACAGAAGAGCAAGCCTGACTTAAATGAAACCCTGTGTGCATTTCAGTGTGATTTATGCTC